TGGAGCGAATGTCATCAGGATATGAATTAACTTGAAACCTGGAGTTTCCAATCCCAACTTGTCTGGCGGTCTAATTGATATTCCACATAGTCCATCACCAGGCGCTGGGCAATCCCTGCCCCAAACCAAAACTCTAAGTTACCTAAATGGGGGCGTGCATTCTTCCCCCCTCCCACTGAATTTGTTTGCTAGAGCTACCATAATAAGGTACCGCAAACGGAGTGGCTTAAACAACAGACATCCATTGTCTTCCAGTTCTGCAGGCTAGAAGTCTGAGATCAGGGTGTCGGCAAGGTTGGTTCCTTCTGAGGGATATGAGGGAGAATCCGTCCCATGCCTCTCCCCCAGCTTCTGGGGTTTGACATTTTGGATTATAGATGCAGCACCCTGACCTCTGCATTCATCTTCACGTGACGATCTCCCTGTGTGCGCGTCTGTGTCCACATTTCCCCTTTATATAAGGACACCAGTCATATTGAATGAGGGACCCACCCTACTCCAGTATGACCTCATCTTAACTAATGACATCTCCAGTGACCCTATTTCTAAATAAAGTCACTGCCTGAGGTCCAGGGGGGTTAAGACTTCAGCATATGAATCTTGCCAGCGGGAGGGGCACAATTTAACCTATGACACCTACCTTTACTCTTCCTTGTTCACTGGAGGCTCTAACTGAAGCAGGAATGTACCCAGCAACCAGAAGCCAAGGTGGGTGGGGGCTCAGTGAGCTGGGGATGACGGGGCAGAAAACCGTATGCACATCTCTGGTCATCCACACGCATCCTTCCTCAAAGAAGCTCAGCAGGGATTGGCTTCAAACGTCTGAATTATTAGACTTCCTTATGAATAGTGTTGCACTTTAGCCGTTCTCTTTGGGACCTGCCTCATCTCCAGTGACTTTTCAGATACAATGTTTCCTTTGCTCTCATGAGGAAAGTCACCTCCTGTAATCCAATGTCCCCTCGCTCCTGAATTAGAGCAGGTTCTTAGTGATGAGCAGCATAAATTTTCTCTGGGTAATTTAAGAAGAAAAGGAATGGAGAAAAGGATGTTGGGCAGGTCATTGGCTCTCTAGAAAGGATGGTAAACCAGGCCAAGCCTGTGCTTCCGGAAACAAATCACACCACAGTCAGAAGGATCCAGCATGCGCTCTGCCACTGGGCTCGGGCACCCAGGAGGCATGTCCATCCTGGATGTTAGCTGCCTCCACTGCTCCTGGAAACTCTATCTAGAGCCTTTTTTTCCAGATTCGGAGGTATCCCTGAGCCCTAAAGGATAGGCACATCTGCGCTAAAGCTTTCTAAGGCCACCTTCATGACCAACATTTTCTGATTAACTGTAGATTCCAATAGTCACCTCCTGACCCGTGAAAATTTGGCTCTGCTGGGGTCCTGAGAGAAGCAGACACTGAGATGAGTTAAGAGTGAAAACGTTTAACGGATGGCCAACAAACACATGAAAAGATGCTCAACGTCACTAATCATTAGAGAAATGCAAATCAAAACTACAATGAGATATCACCTCACACCGGTCAGAATGGACATCATAAAAAAATCTACAAACAATAAATGCTGGAGAGGGTGTGGAGAAAAGGGAACACTTTTGCACTGCTGGTGGGAATGTAAACTGATACAGCCACTATGGAGAACAGTATGGAGGTTCCTTAAAAAACTAAAAGTAGAGCTACCATATGATTGTGCAATCCCACTCCTGGGCGTATACCCTGAGAAAACCATAATTCAAAAAGACACATGCACCCCAATGTTCATTGCAGCACTATTTACAATAGCCAGGACATGGAAGCAACCTAAATGTCCATTGACAGAGGAATGGATAAAGAAGATGTGGTACATATATACAATGGGATATTACTCAGCCATAAAAAAGCAAAATTGGGTCATTTGCAGAGACGTGGATGGACCTAGAGACTGTCATATAGAGTGAAGTAAGTCAGAAAGAGAAAAACATATACATTAATGCCTGTATGTGGAATCTAGAACAATGCTATAGATGATCTTATTTGCAAAGCAGAAATAGAGACACAGATGTAGAGAACAAACGCGTGGATACCAAAGGGGAAGAGGGATGAATTGGGAGATTGGGATTGACATATATTTGCCACTGGGTAAGAAATAGATATCTAGTGAGAACCTACTGTATAGGGAACTCTATTCAGTGCTCTGTGGTGACCTAAATGGGAAGGAAATCCAAAAAAGAGGGGATATATGTATACGTATACCTGATTCACTTTGCTGTACAGTAGAAACTAGCACAACATTGTAAAGCAACTATACCCGCCCCCCACAGGAGTAACACCTGTGGGAGGAAAAGGCAGAAAGTGGGATGGGGTAGGGATGGGTTCAGTCAGACCACGATACAGAATTGTCCCCTCCAACCTGATGGGAACTCTGAGCAAACGCCTGCAGAGGAGTGATGGGTGGGAACGGCTGGGGGCTCGTGCCGCGTCATGCTCGGTCACTGTCCAAGCCACCCCAGGAAGAGGGTGGCTTTGACGCCAAAGCGGAGGTGGACTTAAAGATGTCTGTCAGTTAACCACTTACCTAGTGGTTGGCCCAGAGCTTTGGTCCTAAGCAAAGGGAAACAGCCATTCAAAGATGTGGGTCAGGGCTTCCCTGGTGTCGCAGTGGTTGAGAGTCCGCCTGCCGATGCAGGGGACACGGGTTCGTGCCCCTGTCCGGGAAGATCCCACATGCCGCGGAGCGGGTGGGCCCGTGAGCCATGGCCGCTGAGCCTGCGCGTCTGGAGCCTGTGCTCCGCAAGGGGAGAGGCCACAACAGTGAGAGGCCCGCGTACCGCTATAAAAAAAAAAAAAAAAAAAGGATGTGGGTCATGCATAGCCATGCAACTCTCAGAGTCTGCCTCCACTCCAGGCAATACTGTACATGTAGATGGGGCATCTTTACAGAGGAAACACATGTCAATATCATACATTGGCTTCTGTCATTTTTCTTATTCTATGGGTCTTGGTTCCACTTCCCCAATGAGATTGTGACTGTCCAAAACTACAGACTAATCTGACTTCCTCAGCATCCCTGACAGAGCCTCGCCTGAGGCTGAACACGGAGTAAAAGCTCTAGGAACATTTTCTTTGTTTTTTCTTTTTTTAATTTTTTGGTCGCGCTACGTGGCATGTGGGATATTAGTTCCCCGACCAGGGATAGAACCGGTGCCCCCTGCATTGGAAGTGCAGAGTCTTAACCACTGGACCGCCAGGGAAGTCCCTCTAGGAACATTTTCTGATCCATCTAAGGTGGCTTTCTCACTGCTTCCTCATCCCGCCTCCACCACGGCCCCCGCCGCATCCCTAAGCACTGCAATTTGAAGGCTCCGTTAGAACAGGCCATAAGTAAAGCCCCTGGCTCACTGTCAGGATGAATTTCTGACAGACAAGTGCTTTCCTGCCCATCTCCCTCTCCAATCATTTATTGTTCTTGTCACAAATTAAAAAGAAAAGCAGGCAGCGCTTAAGAAAATCTGTGGCCCCACTCGACACCTCCCGCGCAGAAAAGCATTTGACAACCGGTTCCCATGGCAACGGGCTTTCTTTGAAATAATTCCTTGTTCGGTGCGCCAGACCCCCGCCTTTCTCTTCTTGGGAGTAATGGCCAGCATTGAAAGTGAGATCAGAGAAGGAGAAAACAATCCAGATGAACAGAGCCCACAGGCCGGCAAGAGGGCTCTCGCGGCCCAGGAGGGAAGAACCCAACGCCTCCGTCCTCAGGGCCATGCTGGTGCTCACCAAAGCGTTCAAAGATGCCAAGGATGAGGTCTGAAAAAAGCTGACAGCAGCATCAACAGGCACTATTTAGAGCTACACAACTGAGCAGAGTTCTCTACTTTTGGAAAAGGGCCACGTTCGCACATTCTATGCAACTGTGCCTGCCCCGGAACCTGCTTGCTTCCAGATTTTTTCTTTTTTTTGGTTCTTTGGTGCCATGGCACATGGGCAGTGCTTTCGCCTCAGAGGAGAGCTGCCCCTGCCCTTGCCCTTCATCCTTATGCCCACTGTGCTAAGCAGTGAGACCCAGACCTGACTTCTGTTGTAGGTTGACTTGTGGTCCCCCCAAATTCCTATGTTGAAGTCCTAGCCTCCAGGACTTCAGAACGTGACTGTAGACTTTGGAGACAGGGCCTTTAGAGAGGTGATTAAGTTAAAATGAGAACGCTGGTATGGGCCCTAATCCAAGCTGACTGGTGCCTTTATAGGAAGAGGAGTTCAGGATACAGAAGAGACACCAGAGATGCACCAGCACTGAGGAAAGGCCATTGTGAGGACTCAGTGAGAAGGCAGCTGTCTGTGGGTCAGGGAGACAGGGCTTGGGAGAAACCAACCCTGCCTGCGCAGTGATCTCGGACTTCCAGCCCCCAGTCTGCGTGTTGTGTTGGGGCAGCCCAAGCACTCAAATACGACTTGCCCCTGGGCTGCAGAGGCTCCATTTGTCAGACTGGGACTCAGGAAAGCCAGTCTAAAATTATCTGCTTTACAGCCCTTTCAGAGGGGGATGGGCTCCACCAAGAGCTCCAGCAAGCTCACTGCCCTCTCCACGCGACCTGTGATACACTTGTGTCTTGACGTATCTGAAGGTCTCTTCTCTCACTGGATACCGTACTCTGTGAAGTGACTGATGGAGGCCCAGTGTCCACTCTTTACAGCAAAGGAAGCCGGATGGGTCTAAGTGATTCAGCGCGGGAGGCTGGGCGACCTAAGTAGTTGTGTCCTTGCTTCTCCATCCACCCACGTTTACAGTATTTTAATGTATATGAGATCCCGGAACGGGATGCTTTGAGGTTGGGATGCTATCTTCTTCCATTTGTATCCTGGCCACTGGGACTGTGCTTAGCATGAAAGCACTTAATAAAGATCCCTGAATAAGTTAATGAATCTTATTCTGGCCAAGAGAAGGAAGCTTTAGGATTTAAATCAGAAGAGAAATCTCTGGTCTTTTGTTCTTTTCTTTCTTCCTTCTTTTTTCTTTTAGACGAGGAGACAAAGGCTTAGAAAGTGAAGTGACACAGAAGCAGAACCAGGACCCAAACCAAGGTCTTCTGAATCCAAGTTCTGGGGTTTTCTGCTCTGCCATTCACTGAACTGAATACACAGCCAACTGTGTGTGCACCCATGTCAGGAAAACAAAGACAATACCTATATTTTCAGGTAAGCACAGTCTCTTTTTTTTTTTTTTTAAACATCTCTATTAGAGTATAATTGCTTTACAATGGTGTGTCAGTTTCTGCTTTATAACGAACTGAATCAGTTATACATATACATATGTTCCCGTATCTCTTCCCTCTGGCGTCTCCCTCCCTCCCACCCTCCCTATCCCACCCCTCTAGGTGGTCACAAAGCACCGAGCTGATCTCCCTGTGCCATGTGGCTACTTCCCACTAGCTATCTATTTTACGTTTGGTAGTAAGCACAGTCTCTTAGGTTCAGCATTCAAGTGTGAATCTACTTATTATGTTTCAAAGGACCTGGTATTATTCCATGTACATCCTGGTATTTGCCTCTTTCATCTTTTCACTCCCTTCATTAAAATTCTCAATGGCTCCCAACTGAGTCCCAAGTACAGAGACTGCACATAGGAAGCACTTGATACATTCAAAAAAATAAATTAATGAATAAATGAAAGCAGAGATAATTCTTAATTCCTCCCCCTGGCATTCAAAGCTCTCCATAATCTGGTACCCTAATTTTCAGCCTTCATAGACAAAATCCTTTGCTCTAGCTGGCTCAGTTTCCTCTCTGCTCCCAGAAGAATGCATCATTTGTAACTCTGCTTTGGTTGTTCGCCCAGACTCAGATCACCCTTGTCTCCCTTATTTGTCCATCCTGAAGTAGCTCACATCTTCAAGCCTAACTGAAGCCACCCCTCCTTCTGGCTTGGTGCACAAATAAGGATTTGGAGTCTGGAAGATGTGGGTGGAGGAAAAGGAATCTACAAAGCCTTCTGAAATAGAGGTGCAAGTTAGGAAGAAAACCTGGAAGAGACAGAAATGGAGGGATTGCAGTTGCTTTTGCCACTCAGAGAAACTATAACCTCGATCAAGTCACGATCCCGGTAGCTGCAGTTTCTTCATTTATACAATGGAGCTTTAGACTAGACGGTCCCTAAGACAATTCCAGCCTTAACACTCTGACTTCCCATCAACCCAAGCAGCTGCTGTCTCTCTTTGTAGGGTCCCCAACTCTTTTCTCTCCTCTTCCCCAAGGCCATGTATGCACAAAGCCCTGCTCGCCAGAGACCTTGACCATCAGTCACCCCCTCTTTTCTATCTTCAACTTCTTCCTCTCTAATGGTTCTTTCCTACCAGCATTGAATGCGCTGAAAGTCTTTTCCATCTTTCAGAGAAGGAGGTGGATTTCCACTTTTGTCCATGATGGAATATCTAGTACCAGACTTACCTTCCTGCCGTAAACACCAATTCATTAGACAAACTATATTAAAAAAAATGTTTTCAGACATTAGGGAATGGGCAGTGCAGAATTGTGATTCCCAATAGAAAGGAAACAAATGAGATGAGCCCTAAGATTGCTTTGGCTTTCTGCCTGGAGACACTTTCCCGATGATGGTACAAGAGGTACCCAAGCAGAGCCAGTGGTCTCAGTGAGTTGAGGGGAGGCCAGAGTAGCTGGAATTTGCCAGACAGAGGATCAGAGAGGAGGGAACCATGTAGAGAAAGCCCTCCCGAAGTCAGCACTGGGGTCCCCTTGAATCTTTGGCTGAGTACTTAGTTATGCCCACATAGGAAAAAACTCCGCATCACCAGGCAAAGAAAACTATAATTCCCCAAACGGAACAATTCCCAGAGCTCATGTAGGGCTTGGAGATGTTTGAGTTATGACTAGCCAAAGGAGAGAAACCCCTCTGAACACCTGGATCACTTAGTAAAGACTCCAGAAGGGTCACACATTAGTAGTAGGGCTAAATCAGCCCTATTTGACTTCCCCTAGCAAAGCTTAGAAACAAGCCAAATGATGCAATCAGAGGATGGAAAGCTGTTTCACAAATAACTGTCTGCTAGAGCTAACTTCTATGCCCTTTAAAGGAAGAGAACAAAGTGCAGACACCCGACAACCTAATATTCACGACGACCAGCGTAAGGGTTAAGTAGTCAGGGTTCAATCAGAGAAGCAGGGTGAGTGGGAGTCATATATATAGGACATGAATTTATTAGAGGAACTGGCTTACACAGTTGCAGGAATTGGCTAAGCACGCCTGGAGTCCATAGGGCAGGCAGACAGCCAGGGAAGAGCACAGTAGGCTGGAAGCACGGTGGGGAGAAGAAAGAAGAGAATTTCAGATCTAGTCATTGTTTGGAATCTCTGAGCTCAGCGGAGGCCCGAGACCTCTTTTTTTTTTTTTTTTTTTTTGCAAGGTGATTCTCAAATGTATATGGAAATTCATAGATAGAATAACCAAGACACTGCTGAGGAAGATAGATGTGATAGAACTCACTCTCACTCTACTATAAGACTTTTAGACTGTATGGTATTGACATAAACGTAGACAAATTGACTGATAGAATGGAAATGGAGAGCTAAGAGCAGGCGCATTTATATAATTTATGACAAAGGTGGCACTGTAGGGCAATAATAAAACAGTATTTTTGAATTGACCCCTGCCTCACAGCCTAATTAAAACTATATATATATATATATATATAAAATATAATATAATAATTCCAAGGGGACTTTAAGTGTACGGAGCCCTTTTTTAAAGGCTTCCAAATGATTAAGTTAGGCCCACTTAGAATACTCTCCATTGTATTAACTTGAAGACAACTGATTATGGACTTGAATTACATCTGCAAAATTCCTTCAAAACGGCACCTAGATTTGTGTTTGATTGAAACTCTGGGAAAGGGTGTGTGTGTGTGTGTATTACAAAATAGCTTCAGTTTCCCTTCCATGCTCCAACTCCTATGAGAGAAATATCCCTTGTACCCTACCATAACTGGACACATACTAGAAAGGGAATTCTGGGAACTGTAGTTCAGCCTAGCCAAGGTGACATATCACAAAGCCATCACATTCAGCATCCATTAAAAGTTAGACCTTCATTGAAGCATAACCAGGAGACGCCCGTAACCAGGATAAAAATATAAACAGACACAGACATGACAGAGATGATGGAATTAATAGAAAAGAACTTTAAAAGAGCCATCATAAACATGCTCAAAAATTCAAGGGAAAACCTGAAGACAATAAGGAGAGAAATTAAAGATATTAAGAGAAATCAAACAGGACATCTAGGGCTGAAAAAATAAAATGTCTACAGTGAAAAATATACCAGATGGGCTTAGCTGTAGATTAGACACCAAAGAAGAGAAAAATCAATGAACTTGGAGATGTAGTAATAGAAATTCTCTAAGTTGAAGCACAGAGGGACAAAGATCTGAAGCAAAATGAAAAGGAAGAGAGCCTCAGTGACAGTATCATGTAGTCTAACATATGTGTCTCCCCAAAGGAGACAGGGATCAGAAAATAATTTCCAAATTTGATGAAAAATATAAATCTCAATATTCAACAAGTTCAGTGAATACCAAGCAGAATAAATAGATACCACATCAAAGCACATAATCATCTAACTGATGAAAGCCAGTGAGAAAGGGGAAAATCTTAAAGAAACCAGAGGAAAAAAGACACATCATATTCAAGAGAACAAAAATGAGATTTACTACAGAATTTTTGTCAGAAGCAGTGTAAGCCCGAAGTTAAAGGAATGGCATCCAATGTGCTGAAATTAAAAAAAAAGAACTGCTAACCTAGAATTCTGTATGTAGTGAAAAGATTCTTTAAAAGTAGAGTAAAATAAAGACATTTTTGATAAAAACAAGCTGAGATAATTCATTGCCAATAGACTAGCACTGCAAAAAATTGTAAAAGGAGTTTCCTCAGGCTGAAGGAAAATGACATGAAATAGAAACTCAAATGTACATAAAAAAATGAAGAGTACTAGAAATATTAAATGAGTGAGTAAATATAAAAGGCTTTCCCCCCCCTCATTTAAAAATCTTATAAGAGAACATTGAACACAGAAATCAGAAGGCGCTGGACTTCTCCCTCTGCACAGGATCTCACATTTTGATGTTGGCTGGGCTCTCACCTGGAGGCGTGGGGAAGAATCTATCTTTTAGCTCATTCAAGTTGCTGGCAGAACCTGGTTCTAGGTTCTAGGTTGAAGGTCTAAGGTCTATGTTTCCTTGCTGGCTGGTACTCAGGCTCTGCCCTCAGCTCGCTGAGGCCCCCATTTCTTCTCACATGGCCCCCTTCATATTCAAAGCAACAATGATGTATCAAGTTCTTACACTTTGAATCTGCCTGACTTCCCTTTTTATTAATCAGAGAAAGGTTTCTAATTTTTTCTTTTAGTTTCTTTTTAGAGCGTTTTTTTTTTTCACAGCACAATTGAGAGGAAGGTACAGAGATTTCCCATATTCCTCCTATCCCACCATGCATAGCCCCGCCCATTATCAACGTTCCTTACCAGAGTATCCCCTCTCAACAGCTCCTACCATTATCAACATCCCCTATATTTGTTACAATTGATGAACCTACTTTGACACATCATCAACGTCCAAAGTCCATTGTTTACCTTACATTCATTCTTGGTATTGTACATTCTGTGGGTTTAGGCAAATGTATAATGAAATGGATCTATTATTTATTTTTATTTTTATTTTTTTGCGGTACGCGGGCCTCTCACTGTTGTGGCCTCTCCCGTTGCGGAGCACAGGCTCCGGATGCGCAGGCCCAGCAGCCGTGGCTCACGGGCCCAGCCGCTCCGCGGCACGTGGGATCTTCCCAGACCGGGGCATGAACCCGTGTCCCCTGCATCAGCAGGCGGACTCCCAACCACTGCGCCACCAGGGAAGCCCGAAATGGATCTATTATTATAGTATCATACAGAGTCTTTTCGTATCCTGATAATCCCGTGTGTTCTGCCTATTCATCCCACCCCTCACCTCAACCCCTGGCAACTGCTGATCTTTCCACTGTCTCCATAGTTTTGCCTTCTCAAGAATGTCATAGAGTTGGAATCATACAGTAGTCTTTTCAGATTGCTTTCTTTCACTTAGTTATATGCATATAAGGTTCCTCCTTGTCTTTTCACAGTTTGATAGCTCGTTTCTTGTTAGTGCTGAATAACATTC